CAGTCATGCCCAGAGACTGTTGTTATTTCTGTAAGAAAATCCATTAACTAAGAATCTGGTCTTTCTGTAACATTGCATGTCATGTCACGTGTCTTTGTGTGTTACAATTATACATCATAGCGCATCTTGAAAATTCCTGTTTCCTATCATTCCTAAATGTCTCTGGACATCTGCTTTTTGTGACAACGCTACGTGTAATCTTCTAACGTTGATTGTATTAATCTGAAGGTTGACTCCTTAAGAGCTGAGTTTCATAGGCAAGCATGAATCGTGGACTTAAATATGAGAACAATATCAACAATTGCAATCTAATATTCAGTTATAAATCCAGGGAAGAAGCACTTCAGAGATTTCATTGGAATTAGTTCGGGTTTTGCCATCTAAAGCTGGTAAGCTCTTCAGCACTTAGTCAACCCTCCATAATACAGAAGTTAAATATATTTGGCTCCAATATGAACTTCAGTAGGGAACGTTTAATAATCTCAGGGTTTGAGACTATAGTAGAAGGTTGATAAACCAAACAGGAAAAAAACAAAGGCAAACCACTTGTTCTATTTTCAAGAAAATCACACCGATGCAGAACCAAGCTCACCTGAGGGCCATTTCAAATGTTTAAGAATGCCTTGCCAAATTTCTGATCTTTTCCTCTTTAAAAAAAAAAAATCTTTTTCCAGGTTGCTCTTTCATAGTGAGGTAAATTGTAGCAAAAAGGGCATCCTTACAAATTTGTAGGAAAGCGTTCATATTCCTAAGAAACATCTTTCTCACTTGTTTCTACAGAAAGCTGAAATAGATTAAAGTTTCAAAAGCCTTCATCTTCCACTTTAGAGACAATAGCTACTTTCATCTTCCAGAATATACTAATGAATGTGCCAAATGCTCTAGGATTTAAGGGGGGAAAATCCAAAATAGATCCAAGCTGATATTCCTTTGTTCAAGTTAATGGGCTTCAAAAGGAAAGTAGCTTAAATTGGAACAGTGGGGATAGGTTTGAAATGAGTTTAGATGGCCCAGATTCTTACATAGGGAACTGATAAATGTTAAGGTATAGGCAAGCTTGTTTCCTTCACTTAAGGCACCTCAGTTAAATCTACTTTTCAACCATTTTTGCTACATATTATCCTTCTGGAAGTAGCTACTGTATTGGAAATGAGAAACCAACTTCTTTCTCATCTTAAAAATCTATGCAGCTTCATTTCAGTAAATCTTTAGAGATGGCTGGTGGATTCACATATCACACCAAGCCATGGATTCTTTAACTATGGTTTAATGAATAAAACACAGTGAGTTTAGATCAGAGGTCTCCAAACTTGGCAACTTTAAGACTTGTGGACTTCAACTCCCAGAATTCTCCATAGCCTAAAGGTCTAAATGCAGTGAATATGCTATCAGCATAGCTGGCTGGAGAATTCTGGGAGTTGAAGTCCTTAAGTCTAGTTTAGATGATACACCTTGATACACTTTAACATATCACATTATGGTGTAACTTTTGGTATATACTAGACCTAATTCTTATTCTTTAGCTTCAATGAATAGGTATACAGTAACTGTCTGATAATTAACTCAGTATGAGAAATCCAATATACATATGTAAAATCAACATGAGTTTTCTCCACCATGGTGCCTGTGAATGTGGATGATAGTAGTCATTTCTAGTAGAAAACATCTACTATATATCCACTATGGCTTCCATTAGACCCCAGTGTTGATGCCTTCCAGATGTTGGAATCACAATTTTCTTAATTTTCAACTAACAGGACCTGAGAGGTGTCAGGTGATTAACCATATGTTTTGATAAACTATGATTGTAGAGACATGTCCCTTATTTTAGATTCATCACTTTGCAAATAAAAATAGGGACCTGAAGATGGACAAGCTGGTGTTCTTCAAATGTATACCCATAACTAATGGAGAGGAATTGTTGAACATCCTGGAAGATACTCTGCTTTTCCTTTACTGAGATTATTTGAGTACTCAATAAAATCTCAGTGTTTTATTATATATCAAACTGCCTAACTGCTAAGCCAGAACAGACTTACATATTATTCTTCCCATTTATATACTTTTAGCTGAGTTCACAGAGTTGTTAATGTACTTTGTCTTAAAATATCTGAATGAACACCTGTTGTTTTATAAACCCTAGTTTAAAGCTTATGGTACGTGATTTCAACCCAACAAACATAACAAAACACAGAAAAGAAAAGCATGTCTCAGTTCAACATTTGAACCTAATCCATAGTGAACTGCAAACTCTTGTCTTCTCTGTCTCTTAACATTGTTTTGGCTCTGGACAGAGCCGCTAGCTTTGTTTTAGTTGTTCCCGTTAGTAAGAAAACAGAAATAATTTTGCAACAAAGTGCTAGTGCACCCAGATCTTTTAGTTAGGGGGAAATCATCAAAAGTTGTAACTTGAGGTGATGTCTAAATGCAGTGAATATGCTATCAGCAATTTTAGAGGTAGGAAACAGCTTCCCACTCAATTTATCTTCTAGAGGCTATGAGAATAGAGCTCAGCTTTGAACACAGATTAGCAACTCACAACAGTAAATGTTAGCATGATACCTTTCTGTAGAGAATAAGAAAGCATCTTAATAAGCACACACATTAAAAAAACTGGCAACTATTCAACTGGCTTCTGTTGGATTTTTCCCCCTTTAAGATAATAGCTTTTGGCCTTGCCTTCTGAAGCTTTCTAGCTGTTAGTCTAGCTGTTATCAAATGTTGCATTCTTAGTCAAGCTTTAAAAAAAAACACAGAGAAAGCCATCTCAAACTACATTTCATCCGACACAAATGTTCTTTGTTCGCTCTAAGGGGGTAATTTTTAAAGAGGAATTACTTCAATCCTTCTACAATAATGGTTCACTACATGTAGATTTTTTGCTATTGTAATATTTTTCCTGCTTTTCTATGATTTGTTTTGGGTTTGTACAGCCATGTCAATATGATTAAAATCATACATAGAAGTGAGAGACAAGATATTTGTGGCTTATGCTGTATGCTATATATACAGGAGCTACTTAAAAACCCTTTACAGCAGTGAATTATTGGGTGTGATTCACTGTGTGTTTATTTCTTATGTCACTTATGCAAGATTGATATACAACATAAACTATGCTTTATTTTGTAGGGCTTTAGAGAACTTTGGAGGTGACCTGCAGAATCTATTTCCTGCAGTTCAAAAGTGAAATTATAGCACCTTCTTGCAAATGTCTTAAGGTAGCTGTCTTCTCTTAAGATCCTGGGTAAAGATACAGCTACTTTAATGCATTGCAGATATATCTTTTATATGGCTTCCCATCAGTGGTGGGATTCAAATAATTTAACAACCGGTTCTCTGCCCTAATGATTTCTTCCAGCAACCAGTTCATCAAACTGCTCAGAAACTTAACAACCGGTTCTCCCGAAGTGGTGCAAACTGGCTGAATCCCACCATTGCTTCCCATATATCCCAAAGTCCCTCTGGAGAGGGAATCTGAAGCAGTGAACAATCTAAGTATGGACTGGACTTGGTGTCACTTCCATGTGCTACTTTCTAATCTGATTATTTTATCAGAAATAAGCTCCAATGACCTTATGGTATATCTGGACAACTGCATAACTGGATAGAAGCATTCCTGTCAAACAGACAACAAATGGTCAAAATTGGGAGTGTCCTATCAAATCCTGTACCGGTCAACAGCGGTGTCCCCCAAGGCAGGGTTCTAGGACCAACTCTCTTCATACTCTACACAAATGACCTCTGTAATCATATCATGAGCAACTGTGTTCTCTTCGCTGATGATGTAAAGCTATTCAACACCACAGACAATACTGCTACCCTTCAAAAAAACCTTGACTGTGTATCAGAATGGTTAAACAAATGGCAACTTCAATTCTCAACAAATAAATGCTCTCTTATATATTGGCAAAAAAAAAATCAGAAAATAAAATACAGGCTGAATAGTCAAGACCTTGTTGATGATCCAAACTCTGTCAAGGATCTTGCAGTACTCATCTCTAATGATCTAAGTGCTAGAGCCCACTGAAATTACATAGCCAAAACGGCATTAAGAGTTGTTAACCTAATCTTATGTAGCTTTTTCTCCGGTAATATTACACTAATAACTAGAGCATACTTAATATTTGCTAGACCAATACTTGAATACAGCTCACCAGTCTGGAACCCACATTATGTATCTGATATCAGCACAGTTGAGAAAGTCCAGAAATATTTCACAAGAGTTCTCCACTCCTCTACTTGTTGCAGAATACCTTATGCCACCAGACTTGAAATTCTAGACCTAGAAAACCTATAGTATATAAAATCATACATTGCAATGTCCTACCTGTCAATGAATACCTTAGACTTTCTACTATTGACCTCATCCCTTTCCTAAAGATCTGTAGGGGGCGTGCATAAGCACACCAACATGCCTACCATCCCTGTCCTATTGTTTCTTTTATTTATTTTTTATTTTTCTTATATGTATCCATGTATTCATAACTATGTTTTTACTTATACCTTTTATCTTGTAAGCAATTGACAAACTAAACTAAACTAATAAAATAAAATAAAATAAGAGTTGATTTCTCTCTTTCCCAAAACTCTCACTTGGAGAAAGAGGAGAAACGTGCAAACCCCAACCCAACCTTCAGAGATGGCTCAGGAGGATGGTATGTCTGAAAGCACCCTTGGGACAACCATGACCTGGATGGCTGAGAATCTCCAGACACGATCCCTAGCATTACTTTGGGATCGTTTCTTCTTAAGGTTGGCGGATCGCTTCACGAAGAGTCCCGGACGAGTCGAAAGCTTGCCCATTTTTCTGGCCCTTCAGGCTGCCGATTTGGAAGTAAAAGTTTCCCTTCCCCCAGCCCTCCTTCGCTTGGCAACCCAGCACTACTTTGCCTTATAGGGAAGCTCCGGCTTTCGGTTTCATTTCTCCGAGAAGCGGGAGTGGAAGGAGCCGGAGTCGGGTCTCGGCCGAGGGGGCGGGACAAGCGTTCTCGAGAGGCGGGAGTCGATCGATCGGCCGGGGGTGGGTGGGTGGACTGCGGTTCGCAGGGAAGAGGAAAGGGAAGGGGCGAGATTCTCGGGCCAGGATGGACGCGAGTTTGGCCAAGGAGATCTTCCAGAGGGTGTGCGCCGCGGGCGGCTCTCTGAAAGTCAACGAGATTAAGGTGCAGCTGGACTCGAGCCGCCTAGACTCGATTCTGCAGGATAAGGCGAAATTCACCCTGGTGACCCGGGAGGATCCCCCCTCGGCGGCCGGCGGCGAAGAACACCGTGTTGTCGTGGCCACCACCGGGGCGCGGCTCTGCCGGGAGCACGGCAAAGGGAAGTGCGCCGGTGGCTGCCAGCAGCTCCACCTCTGCCGGTACTTCGTCTACGGGGGGTGCCGCCAAGAGGCCGCGAGGTGAGCCCGTCGCCCCAAGTGGGAAAGAGGAGGGTCGATTGCGGGAGGGAGGGGCGGAGGGGGGGGCGGGCAGTCTCGATTCTTCCCCCTTGGGGGAGGGGGTGGCGTAGAGGGGACCCGGAGCCGCGTCCCCGGTCGGAGAAGAAGAATTCCGCTTTGCGCGGATCCTGGTTTGCCGGGAATTGATTTGCCGGCAGAGGCAGCCGGATGTGGTCCGGGTAATTGCGGTCGAAAGGAACCGGTCCTAGAGCCGCCCAGCCTCGGAGGCACAATTTGCCATTTTCTGTGGGGAATTCCGGCAGAGCGGAAGGCGGCGAGGGTTGAGAGGGGGGGAAGTGCCTGGTACTTCGCAATTCTCATTCCAGATTCATTCAGGGGATTTTTATTTATTTATTTATTTTTGAGATGGCAACTTTCCGTCTGAGAGGCTCGCTCCGTTTCCCAACCTGGTTGGGAGGCGGGGGGGGGGGAAGCATTCAAAAAGGACGCCTCCCGGTGCCCAATTTTAGCCGCCTGATCGGGAAGCTGTGTTTATGGAAGAAGACCCTTGGCATTTTTGTTCCCTGGGGTGGCTGCGCCTTGGAAAGGATTTCAAATTCTGGGTCTTTGGTCTTGAGGGAAACCATGGGCGATTCTCCTCCCCCCCCCCCCGCAGATATTTTTCTTCAGTTGGCTTTGTACTCCTGATGAGTGAAGCTGGGATCATTTTTATGTACCACTGAAATGAAATGAGGCGTTTAAAATGGCCTTTCCCAATCCAGCTTTTCAAAAATTAAAAAAATAAATGGCACCCCTATCTAGGCAGTCCTGGGAAGAAGTTACTCTTAGGTCTTTTTCTTACCTCTCTGTTTCTGGCCATCCTGCTTACTCTTTAAAAGACTTAGTCAGAGGTCTCCAAATTCGGCAACTTGTGGACTTCAAGTCCACAAGTCTCAAAGTTGCCAAGTTTGGGGACCCCTGGACTTAGTTGAAAAGGAAGTGCAGTGTTGTGCTTCTTCATCAGTTTAAAACAATACATTTCTCTGATTATCTAAGAAAGGAATGAGTAACAAACTGCGAATAACAAACCTGCCAGCAGCATTTCTCAGTTGATTCTCCCATCGTTCTCCATTTACCTCTTTTACTCAGATTCTTCATTTCCCCCTCCGCAACATTTTATTGACATTATTACAAAATTAGGATTTTTAAAAACACACTGTATCTAAAGCATTTATTGGCCAACTTGCAGCCCTATGTACACCAAAAGCGCTGGTTTCCAACTTGTTTTTTAAAGCACCCTGGAATTCCAGGAAAAAAGTAAATCCATTTTCAGATGAGGTCTGCTGAAAATTCACTTGGATGTAGCTGTAGAGGGAATTGCTTAGCATGAAATGGAAATAGTTTGCCATTGCTTTCTTCCTGGATTATATTATTTTTGATTCCTAGATTTTAAGTTGCCATCCTTGGAATTCCCAGAAAGTCCCTATTTCAGTGATGGATAACCTTTTCATTGTCGCACACCGAAAGTGCGTACGTGTGTGCACCCACAATGCAATGCATGCGTGACACCCCCCCCACGCATGTGTGTGTGACCCCTCCACCTCTGCGCATGCACACATGACAACCCTGCATGCCCTGCCTCCTGCACATGCGTGTGCATGCCCCCTGCGCATGCGCAACAGATACCCAACAATCAGCTGGCTGGCAGGAGGCGCATGTGCATGCACAGTGGATCTGTTTTGGGTGACAGCTCGCGCGCCGGCAGAAATGGCTCTGCGTGCCACAGGTTCGCCATCACAGCCCTAGTCCAAGGGCTGACCCAGCTAAGCTTTCATGATCAGTCTACATACCAACTTTCTGCTGTCTGCTTATGAACAGTGTCAATTAAAACTTCAATCTGGATACAATTACAAAACATGTTTAATATTTTCAAAACCTTTAGGAAACCATGCAAGTTTATCCATGACATTAACACAGGCCACAACCTCTCTGTCCTAAAAGAAAATGGTCTAGAAGTCTTGAACTCTGATGAATTATGTCAACTGCTGCTTCAGAATGATCCTTCACTCTTGCCTGAGGTGAGATTATCACACACAATTGATGCTTGTTAGGCAATGAAATTTCCATTCCGCAAGATATGGCCCACTGAACCATTCTAATTATTTAAGAAATTCAATGTTGGGAGAATTTCATATTTACAGGTAGTCCTCAACTTATGACCACAGTTGAGCCGGGTGGGTTTCTACCAGTTCTTTCCACCACTGTAGAACCGGTAGCTCTGAAGAGCAGCAGACATAGAACCGGTTCTATGTCTGCTGATGTTTTTGCCCGCCCACCTGCCTGGGCTCTTACCTGACCTTTTTTTCCTGCTTTTTTTCCTGCTTTTTTTCAACTTCAGCTGTGTGAGAGGCACAGCTGCAGTTAAAAAAGCAGGAAAAAGGGCTTTTTGAAAGGCTGCTTCTCTGCACGCATCATGCTGATGATGATTTACAGGTGCATGCCAGCAGCGTGCAGGGAAGCACATGGTAAATCACTGTACGTTGTAAATGACCGAACTGGTAGTTAACCCTGTCGGATCCCACCCCTTAATTGAGCCCAACATTTCTGTTGCTAAGTGAGACAGTTGTTATCTAAGGCTTGCCCCATTTAATGACTTGCCACAATTATTAAGAGAAACAGTGAAGTTGTTAAATGAATCTGGCTTTCCCATTGGCTTTGCTTGTTAGAAGGTTGCAAAATATGATCACATAATCCTGGGGCACTGCAACTATCATAAACTTGAAGTGGTTGCCAGGCATCCAAATTTTGATCACGTGACTATGGGGTTGCTGCAACCAGTCGTAAGTCTGAAAACTGATAAGTCACAGCTTTCAGTGCCATTGTAGCTTTGAATGGTCACTAACTGGTTGTAAGTCAAGGACTGTTTGTATTTAGTGGCACTTTCAGTGACTATCAGTGGTGATAAATCAGTATACATCCAGTGATAAATCAGTATTTCTAGTTGGAGAGCTAGTTTGGTGTGGTAGTTAAGGCACTTGGCTAGAAATAGGGAGACTGAGTTCCAGTCTCTGGCACAAAGCAATTGGCTGACCTTGGGCTAGTCGCTTTCTCTCAGCCCTAGAAAGAAGGCAATAGCCAACTAATGTGACCAAATTGCAGAAACATGTCCAGGTAGTTGTGAGGAGTTGGCTGAATTGAAGACAACAAAACAAACCCCAAACCAAAATGATCTCAATTATTTGGCTTAATATTTTATTTGGGTTTAATCTTGCTTTCAAAACGTCTATTGAATAAGTGATATAATATAATAACCTTCCAAATAAATGAAGACTATAAATGTAAAGTTACAGCATAGCTATCTTTATAATAAAGAGACATAGTAGTATATGCTGTTGGGCTCCTTTAATAAGACAGTGGAAAATTGCCGTTGAGTGGCCACAGGTATCAAACTGATGGCGTCATGTTGGCGTCACACAACGTTTTGCAATTTCCCTTCGTAGAGCTGGGATGGGGGTAGCCTGCACATTAGACATCTGGGCCATGGGATGCCAGTTTGACACCCCTGGAATAGACGTTTAGGAGGAAAGCAATCTAACAGTGCAACTGGTGGTCATAGGTGTTCTTTGTATACCAGAAGATATGCACCTGATATTGAGGTAGGATGGTTTCTGGCTCCATTTCTAAACATATCCGGAGATGCTTTAATCCCATGTTCTTTGTGACATTTAGGCATCATTGTGTATTTACATCTTTGCTTGGCTAGAGATAGACTAAATATATCCATTTGCTTCAAAGATACCAATGTAATAATTTCTTCTCTTTGTTAGATTTGTCCATATTACAACAAAGGGGATGGGCCTTACGGATCGTGCACCTTTAAGAAGATCTGTATTAAACTTCATATATGCCAGTACTACCTCCAAGGAGAATGTAGATTTGGGAGTAACTGCAGACGCTCTCATGATATCTTTAATCCTGAATGTTATGAGAAACTGGAGAAGTGGGGAATGAGCCAAGCTTTGATTAGTAAAATTCCATTGTTCTACAGGAATGTGTATGACATAAAAAACAACACATCTTCAAAATGCAGAGGTAAAGTACTTTATCCTGTTTGGAAATGACTGTTGTGCTATTTTCAATCTGATGACCTTGGTGTTGGGAATACAATTCCTAATTTTTCTGGTGTGCCAATGGGTTCTGGGAGTTGTCATCTTTGCAAGTTGGGAAGGTTGCAGTGTCAGAATCACCTCTCTGCTTAGTATTGTCTCAGTTAGCTGGTTTGTGATGCATGAGCCTTGTATTGGGATAACTCCAACTTAAGTCTGACATTCACCCATGTTCAAGGAGGCATGCAAGGGTTACATCTGTCCACTTTCCATTATGTGACCAGCTTGGTCCTCTCTGAAAATAGAGAGAAAATGATAGCTGGTATTCCATGCTTTCTTAGCTGTGTTTATCAATCATGAATTTGGAAACCGTATTTAAGTAGGCTGTATTTGGCTATTTGCCAGTTAGGATTGCATAGTTGAGTTTTAAATAATTTATGGGAAGATGAACATTTGGGAAACTCATTTCTGTCTGTTCCATGATTAATCAGCAATTACCAGTCATTCTTTTTTTTAGCTCAAAATTACAAATCCTTGCTTATGGATGGCAACGTAGACTGGAATTTCTATAGCTAAGCAGTGGAGTTATAAAATGTGATATGTGACTATATCACTTAGCAACAGCAAATCTCCATTTCTGTTGTTGAGTGAGGATCGTGGGTTGCTAAATAAGGATTTCTTTGTGACTTCCTGATAACCTCTAATAAGCAAAATCATTGGAGAAGCCATCAGTAAGTCACAAGTGCCCTGCGAGCATGTCAGTGATATTATGCAGTGGAAGGGCGGCCAGATAGGGAGTGGCTATCACTAGGTGCAAGAAGATGTACCAGTGACTGCTACAGCACTGCACAAGCATGGCTGGGAAGGCATTCATGCGCTGTGGGGATAGGTGTGCACTACAAAGGATAAGGTACAAAATCCAAAGGATCTCATATCCCATAGCCAAGATCCTCGGGAGAAAAAAAACAGCATAAGTAGAAGTGTTTTACAAGAGCAAACTGTGACCTGCCTTGCTGCCTTCCCCATTGACTTTGTTTGTAGAAAGCTGGCAACAAAGATCACAATGAGTATTCATTGACTAAGGTTTACCTCAGAAGTGTCAAACTCTATTTCACTGAGACTGCATCAGGATTGTGTTTGACCTTAGGGGCCTGGGGTGGGTGTGGCCATGGCCAGCTTGACGTCACTTGTGTTGGGGGTGCCCCTGGTGGCCCAAACACTCTGCCACAAAAACAGGCTCCCGGGCTGTGACGGCCTCCTGCAACCCTTTGCCAGCGAAAATGGAGCTCTGCAGCCCTCCTAAGCTCCATTTTTGCTGGCAAAGGGCACTGTGGGCCGGTCCTTCACTGTATCCAGGGTGGCCCCGCAGGCCAGATCTAAGCATCTCATGGGCCGAATTCGGCCCCTGGGCCTTGAGTTTGACAACCTGGTCTATCTGAACCACCCAGGAGTAATTGATGTGGGAAAAATAGGAGGAATTTCTCTCTCTATCTCTCCCTCCCTCCCTCTCCCTCTCCCCTCTCCCTCTCCCTCTCTCTCTCCCCCCTCCCTCCCCCCCTCTGTGTGTGTGTGTACACACACACACACATACCATCTTGAGATAAATGAAAGTAAGGCAGTTATGGAAATCAGTGTGTTAATTTATGTTATTTGTTTCTCTGAATGTTTTGGTCATTCCACACTGATCTGAGAAAACCCATGCAATTCCTATTCTGCTAATTTTGTTCTCCACATATATTTCTTCGCAATAAGCTAAAGAGAAGACCCTGTTCTTTCCCAGCTTGTTGTTCCTCTTCCAAATATACAGTATTGCTTCTCCCTTACCCTTCACCACTTTCCCCCCAATTCTTATATTTTCTTATCTGTCTAATGCAACAACATTGTCCTTATTTTGTACATTTTTTTTCTGTAATGGTAGGAGTGAGTGTAAAATGAAAACATTAGAAAACATGCAACTAATTTCCCCCTTCGGGTCATTGGAAGACAATTTCTGGTCAGGGAAATGATTTCTTGGTTGGCTTTCCATTTGGAATGATTTTGTTAAAGTACTGGGGAAAATGTTTGTGTCAAAATGCATTGAGTACCAAGCTTGATGAGTTTCAAAGCAGTTGAGTACCAAAGTACCATTGTTATCTACATTTTATTGGTGACTGGAAACCCATATAGGCCTTTTGAATAAAAAAGAAAAAATCTCACATTTTATAGTTTTGATGATTAAACAGGATAGATTATAAAATGAAGAGAGCCATATAATATAATTGTAGAGACAATTTTCTCTGAACAATTGTACTTATAACTGCTATGAAAAAGCTACTCTTTACATCTTTATTTTTTCCTATATTTTTGCTGCTTTTTTCTTTCTGCACTTTTAGCTTTTTTTTCCTTTCTCCCTTTCTGCTGCTGCTTTTCTGTTTTATTTTTGTTTGTATTAGTTTTCGTTACAGTTGTTAAAACTTTCAAAAATAAGAAAATTATATAAAGCATAAAATAGTTTATTCTTTACAGCATGATTTGTTTTAATTGTGGTTTGCTGACTGGCCCAGTTGATTGGATAAACCATGATAGATGAACCACAGGACTGGATTCATATCCCACACTAAGACAAGACCAAACTGTATTATAATTTCATGCAATTTTCTCCTCTTGCTTGTTTGTGTTTGTAAAAGAGGAATCACAACTGTTCTTGCTGAAAACAATTTATCTGTAAGTTGAGGATTAGAGGAAATATTGCATAAAACAGTTATTTCTGATGTTAATAAAGTTTTAGTACTTAAAATGCTGAGAGAAAGATAGGCAGTGCAGCTCAAATAAAGTTGTGCCTGTTAGTAAAATACGTTAGTCTGAAAAGGTTGTCTGAACTACTATTGCTGTTTTGCCATCATAGATTAACAGCTCTCTTCTTATGGAGTCTTCATGAAATCAAGAAATCATCCTTGAAGTCATGCTCCCACCCATAACTTTTTATCCACAACTTCTATCTGTCTTTGTAATTCTAGAGCTGATCTGATTACTTATTTTTTCCCTTGAGGGCAATCAGGAGAATTGGAGGAAGTTAAAATAATGTATCTTTTATCATCTTGAGTCAAAGTGTATACTTCATTTTTCCTTAGAGAGAAGAGAAAATCAAATAGTATCTACCACAGACATCAATGAATCAGATACAATTTGTTTATACCACATTAGGAAAAGTTGTAGCTTTCAAGGTAAGTGGGATAAAACCAGTTAAGTCAAGCTTTCCCTGTTTCTGATATGAATGCTATAATTTCTCACCATACCTTTAAAATCATGGAGTTAGAAAACATCATTTAGGCTGAACCCCAATCCTTGCTCAGTGCAGAAATCCAAAATAAAGGATTGCTAGATTGATGGCTCTTTGGTCTCTATTTGTATGGAGAACATCACCATTCAGAAAAAAGGGCTTCCCTTGTCAATCTGGTCTTGGATTTGTGTATTTCCAGACAACCACAAAACTGACCTTTAGCATCATTTCAGAACAGCTTATCTGTAGACCACAGGACTTTTTTAGGTCTGCCAACACCCACCTAGGTCTAATACAGTCCCTTCAGTAGAAGAAAAAATGTATCAAGTCCATATTTGTGCTGTGAAGTGAGGTTGTCATCTTGCTGTTATGATGTATGTGAGAATGAATAATTAAGAGTTGGATCTACTATATTTAGGCTGCAAAGATGTGAACTAATTATTCAGCAAAGAATTATTAGGGCTTATGGTTCTTTTCTTTGCAGCCCAGTTTTGGAACTCTCTTAGAAACTCAAGGTCTAATTTGTAATACCTTTGATGATTTCTGATATGTAACCAAACCAAGCTATTAATATGCAGCTGATGTACTGTTTGTAAGTATTTTCAAAAGAGAAAATAAAAGGTCTAAAAATGGAACATTTGCAAGAGGCTCTCCACTCCTCTGTATGCCTGGCAATTTCATCAATACAAATTTCTTAAATTTCTCCTTGAAAAGTATCTTAGTGGATCGAGAATGTAATACAACATAACATGGCTTTATTTGTTTAGATAAATGTACCCGAGTTCATTACCATTTGCCATATAGATGGCAAGTTTTAAATGGTACTTTGTGGAAAGACATGGACAATATGAAGAAAATTGAAAAAGCCTTCTGTGACCCAGGCAATGAAAGGTATAAATATAGTGATAATTCGTTCTTATAATAATAACATGTTCTTGTTTGACTTGAATTGTATTGATGCTGTTTTGCTACTTTTCTCTTCTTTGAATATTTTAATGTATGTTTTAACTGGCTTTAATGGTTTGCCTATTATTGTAATATGTAGACGTGACATGAAACTTTTTAATATAGATTTCTTGTGTTAATTAGAGGTGAGGGAGGTTCAAATCAGTTTTGATTCCTGATGAGATTCCTGGAATTTTCTTGATAGGATTTTTGGAAGTGGTTTGCCATCGCCTTTCTAGGTTATCCAACTGGCATAAATTTCACAATCAAAATGTGTGCGATTCTTGATACTTCCAATCATACATAAATCCCATATCATGTTACTCTGTTTCTGGATTTACATTTAGTGTAAATACACAGTAATCAGGTACAGACAGCAAGTGGGTGAAAAAAGCTAAATGCTTTGTTTGCAAAATGTTTCCCTCCAGTAGAGTTGTTCTTCTCAGTTGCTCAGGAATATATTAACGAAGGATGGGGGTGGAATGGTTTCTCTCATTCCATATGCAGATCCTAATCTGGATTGGGCTGCTATAATATTTACCGCAAATAGAATCTGAAAGTGGATTATGTGCCTCATATAATTCAACTTTTAGACTGGTGTAAGTTACTCTTAAGATTTTGCTGAAGTCAGTACAAAAAGATATAGAATTCAGTTGGTCCCAATTTACTCTTGAGTTACAGCAATGAGACTGAGTTTTTCCTTTCTCCCCTTTTGAGTTTGCAAAATGGGAAGAATGGGAATAACGGAAGGGGAGATTTTTCAAACATTTGATTTTAAACAAAAGCTAAGTACTAATAGAGTATTTATCATTAACCTGGTTCTACCCAAGGTTTTGGGATTGTACTCCTGTGGTTGGGCAAAGCTTATTTTGAGTGAAAGCATTCTTGTCTTAAATTAGCTTCACTTACCCTTAGAAACATAATGTTCATAGCAAATGTTATACAGTCACTAGACTGGAAAGGTAAAAGTTTTCTTTTTGTGCAGAAAATATTTCTCACTGTTCTAAAATATTGTTCTGGTTTCCATAAAAAAATAGGAGAGTGATGGTGAATCTTTTGGGCTTAGCATGCCAAAAATTCAGAAAGTGACTAACTTGACTCTTCTGATATGTTTTACACACACACACACACACACACACACACACACACACACAGAGAGAGAGAGAGAGAGAGAGAGAGAGAAGAAAAGAAACAATTGTTTATCTCTCCCTATTTAGGCCACTCTGAACTGTGGCACTCAGCATTTGGTATTGGTGAACGCTGATGTGTCACCCAAAATGTTCTATGTTACTTTTGACAGGCATGTCATAGCTCACCATCAGTGAAATAGGTGAGAACAAGCCTTTAAAAAGAACAATTATAACTTTTAAAAATCCCATTGTCCACAGTATATTCCAATTGGGAGGACCAGAGCAAATCAATTTCTCCAGTATGACATGGGGCTCTGCTAAGATTAGACGGCTTTCCACCCCATCTTCTGTGACCAAGCCTCCACATTATATTCTTACAACAGATTGGATCTGGTATTGGAAGGATGAATACAATCAATGGAAAGAATATGGAAAGCAAGTAAGCCTTACTAACGTTGAAATCATGTTTTTATCATCTTCATGCTGTCTAGCAGGTTTCTTAAACTTCGCAAGTTTAAGATGAGTAGACTTCAGTTCTTGCAAGTTTCCAAGCCATCCAGAGAAACACAGCTGCATAGTATCCTAATGACTTTGATACCTTTAATAACTTTGATACCTTTAATAAAAATCCAGCTTTTACTACTAAATCAATGCAACATATAAATGGTGGGTTATCCTACCGGGTCCTCCATAACACGTGTCAGAATAGATCTGTGTAAGAGCTGCATCTAGATTAGTTACAGGTAGTCCTCAACTACACTATTCATTTAGTGGTCATTCAAAGTTACAACATGCTTGAAAAAGTTACCTATGACTTGTCCTCACGCTTTAAATTATCGCAGTGTCCCCATCATCACGTGATGATAATTTGAGCACTTGGCAACTGGCCTGGAGTTATGATAGTTACAGTACCCTGCGGTCATATGGCCACCATTTGTGACTTTCCCAGCTGACTTCCAATAAGCAAAGTCAGTGGGGGAAATTGGATTTGCTAAACAACCATGCTGCTCACTTTACGATTGTGGCAAAATAAAATCAGGTGCAACTTATTCAACAACCTTGCTTAGCAATGGAAATTCTTATCCCAACTGTGGTTGTAACTTGAGGACTACCAGTATTGGTAAAACTTTGTTACCTAAACAGAGAAGCAGTGAAATTAAGAAACAGCAGTACAAAATGGAAACTTTAATAACAAGAACAAAATAAAATCAATATCAAAGTTTTTTTTAAAAAAACACCAAACAAATTAAAAAGGTGTTGGAAAGATGAGGAAACAGACTTCAACACTCATAATCTGTAGTAAGGTAGCCAATAAAAATTAAACTCTATCACAGGTTGGTGTTTACTGCAAGAGATGATACCCTGAGTTTAATTTTATCTTAGAATAAATATTTTTTTAAATGATGGGTATTAGGAAAGCCTAATGGTACAAATGATATGCAATGTTTGGGGCACATACCTGCTTCAGCATCAGAAGAAAGGCCAACCATGTATAATCAAACATGCTGGCTAACCCATATGAAAATAGATATGGATCCAAAATTCCTGGCTGTTAAGTTTTAGTCTGGACAATGCTGGAAATAAATGGATAGTTGGTTAAACTGCTTCCCAGTAGCTGGTCTCATTTGGTAATAATTCTTGTTTATTGAAGCCAGAATGAAGGCTCAACCACTTCTAATTAGGATATAGGGTTTAAGATTTCTTCCTGATCTATGGAGGGAATTTTCTGTTCTGTCTATCCTCTCTCTGTTCTTTCATGGACAAAGGATTGAGGTTCAGGAAGAGTAGATTTCACCTCCAGCATTGTGAAGGAAATGAGGCAACCTCTTGCACTGACCGTGGGTTGCAATAGAGAAGTAATGCTGGGGCTAAGCAGCAAATACTTTATGCAGACTGACAGTTGATTTAGATTCTTCTCCAGGTACTAACTGAGTGGCATCTTTAGCTGGCCACGTCTTGTGTGCCACTTCCCATCTCCATAGTTACATCACGGCTCCCTTCTTTCCAAGGCTACCCTTTCCAATTGACAAATCCATACATCACAAGTTCTTGTTCTCTGCTTTTGACAAAAAGTCCATAAAGGGACTTTTAATGAATCCAATTGTTGTCTTTTTCCTAATTAAATAAGTCAGTTTTGCCATTTCTGCAAATTCTATCATTTTCACCAACCATTCCTCCATTGTGGGTATTCTAGAGACTTTCAATGTTTGTGCATAAAATCTCACAGCAGTTACCCTACACAAAAAACTATCTTTCATAACACTTCTCAAATTGTCTATCCATTAGTCACAGATTTTTTCTCTCCCGGTTTCAGTGGAACTGGAAAAGTTGGTTGAACCCCAAATATGCTGCCTTTTTTTAAGAACTCCAAGTAGGATAAAAATGACCCTTCGCATCTTCAGCATTTCCAAGATAAATTTGAAGCAGCTTTAAACAATCCACAAATAGATAACTCATTCTAATTCTTAAGAAAGTCCTTTTTTAAAACAAAATTCAAAGGACCTTAATTTTTCTGGAGTGATGTGCAAATGCTTTTGTTTGGTTCTGTGGTATCAGGATGATGATCATGTTGCTGCTACTGTGACCAGCTTTGACTTGGAGAAAGCTTACCAATCTGAAGCATTTACGACCATCAAGTTCTCGGCTGGGACACAGAATTATGAGATTGATTTTAAAGGTGTGTTTTCTCTCTTGTATCAGCTGAGTTGTTTGGAAAAAGCACCAGATAAAAATCCACGTTGATCTGCCTTGGCCATAATATTTGGTTCCTTTACCCCAGGAGGTGTCAAACCCAATTTCATTAAGGGCCGCATCAAGGTTGTGTTTAACTTTTAGGGGGCTGGTGGGGTGGCATGGCCAGGGTGGGAGTGGCCAGCATGACATTACTTGTGTTGGGGGGCGCCTGTGGTGGCCCGAATGCTCTGCCTGTAAAAACAGGCTCCCAAGCTCTGTTTTCGGCTGTAATCACCTCCTGCAATCCTCTGCCAGTGAAAACGGAGCTCGGGGTAGCCATACACAGCTCGTAGGAGCTCCATTTTCACTGGCAGAAGCACCACGGGTCAGTCCTTTGCTATTTACAGGGCAGCCCCATGGACCAGATCAAAGCACCCCACAGGCTGGATCTGGCCCTTGGCCTTGAGTTTGACACCCCTGCTTTAGCCTAATATTGTCTATTAGGAAGAAAGGTCCATCTGATTAGAAATCAAGCAAGCAGATTTTGTATTAATAAACTTGGATATAATTAAGTTAGCATATTAAATTGGTGGTTCTTAAATTGTTTCCCCAATGCCCTTTTCATGGTCTTAAGGATACCTAATATCATTATTATACATCACAAAGAAACCCAAACTCCCTTGTTTTATACAGATATTGTGGCCGTGGCTGTCCTGAACTTCAAACAAGCAATTATAAATTGCTCTGTTAGCAACAGCAGTTCGACTTACAGTGTTTTACACAATGGGTGGGTGGTTCACAAAGTCAGCATTATTTGCATATTGTCCCAAACAATTTGGGTTCTCATTTTACCGACCTTGGAAGGATGAAAAGCTGAGTCAACCTTTAATCCTGTCTGGATTGAACTCTAGGCGATTGGCAAAATTAGCCTGCAATGCTACATTCAAACACTACACCACCAGAGATCTTTATCTTTACTCATTATCCCCCAAGATAGGCTTGATTTGCTCCCACTTTAGTCATACAATTGAGTAGGATTATCGTGATAGAAGAAAATTTGTCCTCAAATCAAATGGTCTTCACGAAGCTTCTGTGATTGAACGACTATGCACCTGGTTTAAACATAGCTGATTACGGTGGATAAAACTGTTATGTAAAGTCCCCCCAAAATCTCCCTAGGATCTGTTATATCAGTGTGAACTTCTGGTGAATCGTACATTCTATTACTCAGGTTCAACTGTTTTTTATCATCTTCTAGGCCCAATTTCATAGGGACGTGGTGGTGCAGTGGGTAAGACCCTGAGCTTGTCAATCAGAAAGGTTGGCAGTTCAGCGGTTCAAATCCCTAGACCGTGTAAAGGAATGAGCTCCCGTTACTTGTCTCAGCTTCTGCCAACTTAGCAGTTCGAAAGCATATAAAAATGCAAGTAGAAAAATAAGGGCCACCTTTGGTGGGAAGGTAACAGCATTCCATGGGCCTTCAGCGTTTAGTAATGCCAGCCACATGACCACGGAGATGTCTTTGGACAGCGATGGCTCTTTGGCTTTGTAACAGAGATGAGCACTGCCCTCTAGAGACAGAAACTAGCATGTATGTGTAAGGGGAAACTACTTTTCGGCCCAATTTCATGGATGGTATCATCTGAGATTGTAGTTCCTGAAACAAAGGAGTTCTGTGGGTCTCTGCTAGAGTGGCCTTGATTGGCAAATAACTTTGATCTTTAAAGCATTAATATAATTTGGAATCAGGGTTGTATAAGAAAGAGAATAAATCAACTTGGACCCTTTGATGTCTTGGTTAATAAAAGTGATTTTTGAATATAGTAAGGAGTTTTGAGATAAACAGGTAAGGCTAGGTCACCTTGACTTTCCGCTTGGTTTTAGAGGTAGATTTTTATTTGCACCAATTTTCAATTAAAAATCAAATTGGAAACTTGGTAGGTCAGATCTGTGGGCAGAAGGGGGTTTAACATGCCTTAGAATGGTAAACAATCTTTGGGACCAGAAGCACATTTGATATTTTGTAGGCAGAAGGATGCCTACAAAACATGTAATAGGTACAAGTTCCAAGAAAAGCTGGAGAACAAAAAAGGGGCTCTTTGGCAGCTTGATATCAGTTTTTTATGATATCAAGTTGATAGCAGCTTGATATCATACAAAAGGTAATAACAGTCCCTCTTACACTGTTATCTGGTCTAGATAAGGGCGAACTTTGTTCTGCCTAGTGTTTCATTTTCTTAGAATCCAGCTAGGATCCTAGGCAGACTTTGATTTCATTCTTCAGCCATAAATTCCATGTTTTGAGAGATGTTTCTGCGGGAATTTTTCAGACATGAAACAGAAAAACCTGAAATATCAGACAGAAAGAAGTGTTTGCAGACGACCTAAGTTCGTGTCCATGGAAGAGGTGGAGAAAAAGAAAAGCAGGTTGGTGACCAGATTTTGTATGTGTGTGGGAGGTGGGACCTCATTATTTGGTTTGTAATTTGGAAAGTATGTATGTGCATATGTATGTGTCTAGATCTCTAGAACATTATGTTTTTCCTTGGGATTCTATCAGTCCAGGGTAGTACATTTGCAGACCATCCCAGTTGATTTCCCCAATCTGGTTCCTGCCAAGATATTGGTCCAACACCAGTAAAATTCCTCACAAGTTGTCAATTCCGCAGAAAATGGGAAGGTCAGTTTAAGGCAAAAAAAGAGAACCAAAATGACTATTATATGACATATCCACTATCTCCGTGGCCTGAAGAAAGTCCTAATGCAGGGGTTCAATAATAGATAATGAGGTGCACTGGAACTCAAGAATATCCACAAGGCTGGTTTAAAAAAGAAGGTCTAAATGGCAGCCATGATGGTGTAGTAAATGTTTTGCCTGTTTTTTTTAATGTGCATTTTATGTGGGTATTAAACTCAGTGCTTTCAATGTAGAATAAGGAAAGAAGTTCACTCACACATCACTCTCAGAGTATTGTTGGTTGCTTCAATTTTCCCTCCTTTATTCAACTTATAGTTGTTAAGACTTACTTTGAAGTCACATTCCAAATCAGAATTCCTTGACTTTGTTTGCTGAACATTTTTTTCTTTTGCATTATATAAAACAGAGTGTTGATTAGTTCTGCAATCTCTTTATTTACAAGCAAAACAGAGCAATCAAAGGGAAGTGCTACACACATTCCACCTCACTGGGACCAGGCAGCTTTACCAGAACTGGGATATAAGGTAGGTTTTACTAAATTAGCAGATGTTTCTATATTCCCAGTGTAGTTGTTCAACTCAGAATGTTGTGTGTATGTGTTTTAAGTCAGGTACTATGCATAGTGATAATAACAAATAGACAAATGGCTATTCTTCTGAAATACAAATGCTGGTATTCCATCTTTGGCAGGTTCTGGTCCATCATTACTCATCATTTCTTAACCCTTTACTTTGAATGTCCCAAAGGTGCTTTTTCAAGAAGCAACTGGAGTTTCTGGAGTTTCTTTGAAGAAGTTTAGCTTCTGATCCAAGAAGTTTCTTCAGCTCTGACTGGTTGGTGGGGAATGGAAGGATTTATACTCCTTGCAGATAGCTGGTCATTTGTATTATTTTAGAAAGAATAAAAGGAAAGCTAAAAGAATGCAAATGACCAGCTGACTGCGAGGAGTATAAATCTTTCCATTCCCCATCATTCAGTCAGAGCTGAAGAAGTTTCTTGGATGAAAAGCAAAATGTCTTCAAAGAAAAACCAGAAAGTCCAGTTGTTTCTTGAAAAAGCACCTTTGAGACAACCATGACCTGGATGATTGAGAATTTCCATAGACTTTATTTTGACTGTTTTGTTTGAGTCCCTTAATGTATGTTTTGAGGAAGTAAGAAGTTTTTATTCTACCTCTTTCTCTGTGAGGGTGTATGACAGAGTGTACTCTAATAAAACTTAAATTAACAGTCACCAACAAATCAGCCACAAAGCTCATATCCAGTAATGTGGGGGGTGAGTTTGCTTATTCAATTAACTCTTCCTCTGCCCTCTCCATCTCTATAAAATAAAGAGTAAGGTAGCTTGATGATAAGTAGGTTACAGAGAACAAGGAATGAAATTGGTGGCTAAGGTCTGGATTACAACATGTAATCAATAGGATGTGCTGGAAAGACAGGCTGAAGGCTCCTTCATATGACAATGATGTGCTAGAAAGACTGAGGCTAAAGATTCCTTCATATGAGAAGGATGCCCACGGAGTGATTTGAGGCCAGCCTATTTGATTTCTGGACTAAATCTATATCCTGGGGTTGGTGTTGGATTGAAACTGAAGTGAGAATCCTATATAAGGCAATTAACCATGAAATAAGCAAACTCTGCAATTATGCCTTACTCAGAGCAAGTCTGCCTACTAAGCCTGAGGAAAGAGAGAACAAAGTTCTCCTACTGACTTGGCAGTCACAGAAATGGGCATTTTCTTCCTCCCATCCTTTTGACTGTCATGCACCCCAAAGTTGGATCAGCCCATTTTTAAGCCTACTAAAGACTTTTTAAAAAGTTTTTGTTGCTTCAGAGGGCCTTCCAAAATTGATAGTGTTGATGCTGAGGAGGCTGTTTCAATCTAAAGTTGTTATATTTCACATAGTGGTTTTAAATATTTTAGCAGTGGGACACATCCTGTGTTTTTCCTGTCACTCAGACTGTATATGGCTTGGACTGAAGTGGTACAACTTAAATCTTATAAGTAAAATAAACAGTTCCTGTTTCTCAAAATGACCTGTTGAGAGTCAGATCCTGGGAGGACTCTAAATAGGCCCAAGCTGGTTCAGATGTTGTTCTACAACTTAAGTTAGGTAGTAGTTGGTAAGCCCTTGAAAAGCAAGAAAGAACGTGTTAGACATTTCTGTGGGTTTTTCTACTAGGTAGTCACTAGCCAGAGAACTAAGTCTTCCCTTTCTCATCTTCCCTGATCAGTGAACACCCAGTGATTCTGTGACTTGGGTTTTGTTTGGTTATCAGGGTAGATAACTTTTATTTCAAATTTTGCTGCCTATATTAAATTTTACTCCCATTTTTGAGATTGTACCCTTTTTTCCCTTTGCAGCTGATCAACCTCCTTTCATCCTCCAGCGAGTACATAAAAGTCCAGACTAACTTTCTACGCACACTGCCCAAGGTCACAATACTGGCCATCAAAAGAATCCAGAATTTGTCTCTTTGGGAAGTTTATCAGTGGTATGTGCAAACTGGCTCCACTGTTGTCATTGGCTTCTCTGAAATTGATTTTTTTTTTTCAAAAGCTTCGTGTTTCTGTTGCATAGCAGAATGCTGGATTAAAGGAGAATACTTTCTTGGAAGAATTTCTCAGTGTTATTTAAATTCAAAGTACTGAGGGTTGATCATGGTTGTATTGCCAGGGAGCAATACAATTCTTACTCTTTGGGAACTACTCGGTGATGGTCACATAGCTAATTATATGGTTGAGAGTTTCTGTCTTCATGTGTAGTGGTTATCTCCATTTGGCTAGCAAAATGTTGGAGAAAGTTAACTAATGATGATCAGGATAAGCAAAATAGAAACTCTTATTCTTTCATTAATTTAGCTGCTGACATCTCAATTCTAAAGACCACATGTACTGAGACATTCCAAGCCACAGAAGAGAACCCAGCTTCTTCTCTTACGGAGTCTACCATCCATTAGTGTTCATCCCAAGAACAGGACATCATTAATAGCAATATTTCTCAACCTCTGCAACTTTAAGATGTGTGAACTTCAGTTCCCAGAATTCCCTAGCTAACTGTGCTGATGGGGGAATTCTGCTGAAGAAATACTGATTAAGAGACTTCAATGTCTTGGTAGGAATCTTAGCATCAGGTTTCCCCTTGCCTGTTGCTATTTTATTTTTGCCTGATCATATTTGTGCCATTTTTCCCCATGTTTATAGGCAGAAAGAACAAATGAAGAAGGCAAATGGGGGAAAGGATGTAGATGAAAGGTCTCTGTTTCATGGAACAAGTACAAAACATGTTGATGCCATCTGCCAGCAGAATTTTGATTGGAGAATCTGTGGTGTTCATGGTACAGCTTACGGCAAAGGTAACTTCTAAGGTGTTTTGTGTGTAATAATTTAATTGAAGTTGATACACTTCCTATACTTCCGTACCATTTATTTGGAGTCAGATGTTAGCAAAATTGGTTGGGGAACTCTGATCATCCAGATGTTGTTGAATTGGGTTCTAGTACCTGTCTTCAGTGATTATATTGGCTGGAAATAATGGATGTTGACATCTAACATATCTGAAGGGCATCTGGTTAAAGAAAGATGTAAAGTATTTAGCAGAAAAAAACTCTCTGCGTAGATACAGATTGTGCAAAACCTATCATTCAAAGTATGGAAGGTTCTGTTCCTCCTTTGAATTATGCTGATCCAGCTATGCTGGGGCTAGCCTGGCCCTGCCATAAATGATTTCAAATTTTAATATTGGATTTATTTGCTGCATTTGTATCCTGGTATCCAAGAGGTTAGGCTGGCCACATCCTCTTTTTGTCCAGTTTTATTCTCACCAAGGTGGATGGAACTGAGATGGAGTGACTAATCCAAACCAGTATTGATTTGAATGTTGGTCTTCTCTATCCTTGGTAGGCATGAAAACCATTAAATATACACTACAATTTTGTTGAATTTGTAATGTGGCCTGTTTTTCCTTATGTCTTTCTTCTTTATAGGAAGTTATTTTGCAAGGGATGCTGCATATTCTGATAACTACAGTGAAGGCAGTTCTTCTATCAAGACCATGTTTCTTGCCAAAGTATTGGTGGGAGATTTCACAACTGGCAATTCTTCCTATCTCCGCCCCCCTGCCAAAAATTACGAGAGCAGTCTTTTCTATAACAGCTGCGTGAACAGTCTCCTGAATCCATCAATTTTTGTCATTTTTGAGAAGCACCAGATTTATCCCGAATACCTGATTGAATACAAAAAATCCTGTTTAACACGCCGCTAGATGAGCTACTTTCTGGATGACCATTGAAGACCTTAGCCTATCAGCATTTTGTTGAGCGATTTTTGAACAAGTTTTTAATAGATTAAAAAGATATCCTCTCTCTTCCCTTCCCCCTGAAATTAGACCCCATAAATGTAAAAAGCAGACTTAATTTTTTACTATCAAAGCTCAATACATCTATGAATGTTAAGTGCTTTTTTTTAGAAGAGACATTATTGCTTTCTCAAGGAAGAATAATTTCGATTATACTTGTTCTGATAGCTGTATGTCATGTAAAATCCAAGATGATGCTTTTATATTCAGCGGGGAAATTTAATCAGTGGAATCATAAATGACTCATTGACTAGGTCTTCTTAGAAAAGCAACCCCCATAATACTTAGCCCCCATCCCTTTGCATTAATTGCAGCATAGGTCTGCTGCAGTGGTTTGAAAAGCTGCTTTGGGACAGGCGTGTATGTACACCCTGCATATACATAAGGCAGTGCATTGTGTACGTGTGCCTTATTCTCATAGATGTGGTGTGCTCATTCACACTTGCTCAGAAACAATTTTACGGTATTAGATCTGAAGCATTGGATATCTCTAAATACCAGATGTTACAAGAGCCCGCATGAAGAAGCACTGATTTTAATAAACTCTAATGTTCCGTTTTAAACAATTTTACTCTTTTTGCAGATTTTAGTATTTTAGTATTAATATCTTTCAATGCTGTTCCATCTTTCTAAGGGCATAAGGGTAGAGAAAACCTTCAGATCAGATTACCTTGTTGGCATTTGTGTCATCTTTCTAAGGGCATAAGGGTAGAGAAAACCTTCAGATCGCATTACCTTGTTGTCATTTAGATTCTAAAAATAAATACTTTTTAAATGTCTTTTGTAGTATGATTTTTTAAAACTTGTTATATGACTGCAGAACATTCAGCATGGAATTCCAGAATTATAGCCCTAAACAGTGGTAAAATATCAGGTTGAGGAATGCTAGCGTAGCATTTTTCTGTGCTTTACTTTGCTAAATCTTGTGCTTCTTCTTTGACACAGTGATATATATCACTGTATATCATTGTATATAATGATACAAAAATTGTTTCTTCTTTCATCGCCTGTCAACAGGGACCAACTTTTTAAATTTTTTAGATTTTGGATATAAAATATACGTTGAGAATGTGGCTTAAGAACTTGCCAGCTACTTAAATAAACTTTAGCAAAAGAAGTCTTGTTTGGTTTTATTAGATAATATCATTTTGCTGCTTCTCAATGGATATATAGTTGGCTGTGGTGACTTAATCATGTGCTATTGAAACTTCAAGATACAGCCTTTTAGTGACAAAATGATGAATGCTGTATGGAGATTTGCAGGTTTATAATGAAACTCTTGGAGCAAACCATATCTAGCTACAGCTGTAAAACTTTATGGTTTTTGTGTTTCAGATAGATTTTTACCTTGAGGAACCATTCTTTCCAGCATATCTGCTTTCCCAAGTTTAAATTATGGGTTGATGCTATAAAGTTTACATGTATTTAAGTTGGCTTTATTGTTTGCTGAAAATCTCAAGATAGATGCCTTATAACAAATAATATAAAGAAAGTACTATCAGTGATTTAAAAGCCACCAAGGGGTTTTAAAAAAAAGTTTTAATGGCTATGTATGTTGGAAGTTTCAGCACTGTACCAAATCAGGGTGGGCTCATTTTTGAAAGTGAAGTCTTAGAATTTTAATAACTGTAGTAGACTTCAAACCCAGGAAATAAGGGCATTGTGAGGTAACAACACTAGTAGTACACTGATTTACACTACAGAATGCAGGATTTTTTTTATCAGTATACAGATTATACTGTAATAAAGCAAGTTTACAAGTGGCTTTAGAATCCTTTTATTTTCTACATTTAAAATAAACTTATAATTTGTTTAGTGGCTGTTCAGAGTTACAACAGCGTTGAAAAAAGTGACTTGTGGTCAATGCTCACACTTACAAACTTATCACAGCATCCTCACAGTCATGTGATCAAAATCCAGACACTTGGCAACCAGCATGTATTTGCAATAGTTACAGCATCCTGGGGTTGTGTGATTGGCTTTTGCCATTCTCCCAGCTGGCTTTCAACAAACATAGTCAATGGTGTGTGTGTGTGTGTGTGAGGGGGGAGACCCTTAGTTGTCTAATTACTTAGGATTGACTTAACAATTACAGTGACTCATAAAATAGGTCACAACTCACTCAGAGGTGGTATAGAACCAGTTCTGACAGGTTCTGGAGAACTGGAAATTTTGAGTAGTTTGGAGCAATGGTCAACAACCAGTGGGCTGGCGAACACTGGTGGTCCGCGAGAAAATTTTGGTGGTCCACAAAAGTCCCCCCAAAGCAATTAATCCAGGCTATGTAGGAACACAAGGCTGCATCGCCCACATAGCCCACCTCCACCCTTTAGCCGAGTGCAAACCTTAACTTGAGTAGAGCCACTGGAAGGTAAGACCAATGGCAGGGGAGGGAAACCCACTCCAGGGTGGCTTGCTGATGGTGGGAAAGTCAGTCCCATATTCCAGAGCTGCAGTAGTCGCAGGACTGGCTCTTTGGTCATCCCGGATCAGCTATTCCAGTCTATGGCAAGCTGGTGCACCCGGATGGAGGAGCAACTGCTCCGGGATGACCAAAGGGTCAGTCCTGTGACAACTACAGCTCTGGAATAGGGCCGACTTTCCCACCAATGTCAGCAAGCCACCGTCAGTCAAAATTCATATTAGTGGTCCGTGGGATTTAAGTTTAAAATAAGTTTGGTGGTCCCTGAGGTCCAAAAGGTTGGCCCCTGGTTTGGAGAACCAGTAAATACCACCTCTGACTGGCCCTGCCCCCATCTATTCACTGCCTTCCAAGTCCCAGCTGATCAGCTAGGTCTTTTGTCACCCTGCACAGGAGAACGGAGCTGGAAAGCAGGTTAGTGAGGTGGGGAGCGAATGGAGATTTTATAGTATCCTTCCCTGGCTACACCCACCAAGCCACGTCCACAGAATTGGTAGTAAAAAAAAAATTGAATACCAGCACTGAACTCACTTTAACTGCTTTGCTTAGCAGTGGACATTCTGACCTCAAATGTGGTTGCAAGTTGAGGACTACTTACACATTCATAGGAATTAAACTACACACATCTAACATTTAACAATCAACAAGAATAGTTTCCATACAAAAGAAATTCTTTAAGATGATAAAAGCAATTTTCTTCAAGATAGGATTTAAAATGGGGGTCCCCAACCCCCTGGTCCATGGATTGGCATTAGTCCGCGGCATGCCAGCAACCAGGCCACACAAACAAGCGAAGCCCCATGAAGGCAGCACATAAAATCATGCCCTTCCGGTCCCCTTCTCCTTGGAACCAGTGCCCCAAAGGGTGTGGGCCGCTGCTTTAAAAACCAATGATTTTCAACTGAAATGAAATACGAATTCTTTGGGGGGAAAATTTAGAACATGTTACATAAATAACCGCAGTGCATTTTATTTCTAGTTCTCACAGTTACTATGAATTACCATTAACCAAGTAAGCCAGAGGATGAAAAAGGTTATAAGCTGCCATGCATACAGAACCGGATTGGAGAAGATTGCCTTGTTTAAAAGAAAGGGCAAAAATACTAGGTTCCAGACTGTCAGTTACATCTTGGGATCTTCAAACTTGACAGCTTTAAGATTTGTGGACTATAACTCCCAGAATTCCTCCTCCAGTCATGTTAGCTCAGGAATTCTGGGAGTTGAAGTCCACAAGTATTAAATTTGCCAAGGTTGAAGATCCTCGATCTAGGTAAATCTGTCTATCACCTTAGACAGGAGAGGAACAACTCTTAAAGAGAAAATAGAGGGTAAGCTGATGATTGAACAATTATAACAGCCTGATTTTTTAAAAAATAGCTTTCATTTTTAACAACTAAAACAGTTCATTTTATGAGCATCCTACTTTCATTATTAGCAAATATCCCTTCCATACACCATACCACCACTCAACATAACGCTTTCGCAGTTTAGATGCATATCGGGCACTAAAGGTTAAGTTTGCAAGTATAGAAGTTTAACCGTCTTTGGAATTGAGCATTGGAAGGCATTGTAAGGCAGACTGGGGTAAGAGCTTTGGCACCTTTAACAGGTTTTTCCATGTTACAAAATAGGTTTTCAGCGTGAGGTAAGCCAAAGCTTCTGGAAAAGAAATGGGAGGATGTGACTATCTTAACGAGAAACAATCTTGATGATGACACCATCCCGTGGTCCTAGTGTGCTGTGAGATTTGACCTGCAAAGGGATCTGGGAAGAAGGTGAAGAAACAAAATACAAAGCAAGTTAGGAAGCGGCAGTAATTATAGGAAAGGCAATGCTCTATACCAGGGGTGTCAGTCTCAATTTCATTGAGGGCCACATCAGGGTTGCGTTTAACCTCAGGGGGGAGTGGGTATGGCTGGGTTGGGTGTGGCTAGGGTGGGCATGGCCAGCTCGACGTCCTTCAGCCCACGTGGGCTCTGTTTTCAGCTGAGATGGCCTCCTGCAGCCCTCTGCAGGAGCTCGGGACGGCTGCATGCAGACTTCCATGGCCTCCCCAGGCTCCATTTTTGCTGGCAGAGGGGTGCAAGACAACCCTGCTCTATATTCTTAACTTCTAGCAATCCATACACCTGAAATGCCTAGCAGGTTTCTCAGGATGTTTTCCAATCAGATCAACCATGGTGGACAGTCTGGGTAACAACCATCCTACCTTGCAGTATGCTACAAGGTTTGTTTAGGAATATTTGGGGGCAATAGGTGGGCTGCGCTTACATTCACAATCGGTTCGCTGGTTGTGAGCACACACGCGCGCCCCTTTGGGACTGAAGCGGAGCTTCAAACATGCAGCTAATCAACTCGGACAGCTCCAGTGAGTACAGCAGGGGTAGTGTGGACCTCAGCTGGGCAGCGTGAGTGGGGGGAACGAGCCAGAAAGTTAGTTATATATGGAAAGGGTGGGCGGGCGGGCCGAGCCAGCGATCACAACTAAGAGTTTGCATGACCAAGCAGCAGCCTTGAAGATCATCTTGCGATCCTTGAAGCTCATCTTTTGGTTTGTGTTCATTTTTTAAATATATATGTATATCAAGCAGGAAGCCTTGGTGGCCCCATATGTTGGATGCTGTGTTGGGGATTCAGGGGAAATAGCTATAGGTCTATACATTTTCATTCATTGTACACATGTTGTACATTGACAATACATGTTTGATTTGATGTTTGTACTAAAGAGAAATGAAAAGCAATTCTTTCCCCACCCTCTAGTTTGCCTTTTTTGTTGTTGTTACCACCTTCTCCAAAAAGTAAAAAAAACAGGCACAAACCTGGGTCTCAGGGCAGGTTTTAAACATGAATCTTTGCAAAATTCTCAACAGTGCAATTTTTATTGTCATCAAGGCCAACTTCATGCCAATGCAGCCACGAGGACCTGCCCCAAAGGGCAAATAAGCAAAAGGGTGTTGTTGCTGCATAGCCTCAGCCGTAAATCTGTGGGCAAAATTAAAATATAAGTCTACGGGCAAGATTAAAACATGAGAAAGGACCTTCCATTTGCATTTTCCATTTTAAAACGCTGGGTGGGCCCCAAATGGCTTGTTCGATGATTAAGACATAGCAGTCCCAGGTAGTTCATGACTTAGAATCATTCATTTAGTGGCCATTTGAAATTACAATGGTACTTGTAAGTGACTTACAACCAGTCCTTGCGGTTACGACGAATGTACCACCCCCATGGTCACATGATCAAAATTTGGGAACTTGGCAATTGGCATGCACTTATGATGGCTGCAGCATTCCCGGGCCATGTGATTGCCATTTGTAATCTTTCCAGGGGCTTCCAACAAGCAAAGTCAATTGGAGAGGGGGCGGAAAGCCGAATTAATTTAACAACCATGTGATTCATTTAATTGCAGTGGTTTGTTTAACGGTCATAGCAAAAAAAAAAAGGAGGGGTCATAAAACTGGGTGTGATTTACTTAACAATGGCATTGCTTTACATCAGAATCCCAATGGTGGTGGGACCGGCTGAAGAGTATCTATATTGTGTTCTGTGGGAGGGTACGCATTTTGCATTATGTGTAATTGTGCCCCCCAGTGCTTTGTTGTTGCTGTTGCTATCTGTACAATAAATAATATTGTGATTTGACAGTTTTAACATTGTGATTTGAACGATAAGCCCATGTACCTCTCAGGAATAAACTTTTCAGGTTCTAGCCAGAACTTTGGATTATAATGGAGATGACCAGCAGCAATTTCTATGATAGCGCCAGCTGGGACTTGCTGCTGTAGCACTGAACAGTCTTTTGCTGCTTCCCGGGTAAACCTACAGGAACAAAGATTGCATATTGCAGAAATAAGAAAGGAAAAACATGGCATTTGAAACACTTGAAGAAGCCTTCATGTGTAAGCTATTTTAGACCTAGGCTGTTGTATAAGTAGGAAAAATATTGGGATCATTGCAAAGAAAATTGAATGGACACATCAATATTGATTGAATATTTTGCTACTCCTTAAAAACTAGTCCTAGGCTTCTCTTTTATTTTTTAAGCAAAACTGAAATACTTTTTTTTTTAACTTGGATTGAGACATTCCCACATAGCAATTTCTGTCTTCAAATGGGAAAGGTATGTATGTATTTATTTTATCTGGTTATATGCCACCCAATTGTGAAGGCTCTAGGCCAAGGGTCCACAAGTTTAACATTTGTGGACTTCAACTCCCAGAATTCTTGAGTAAACATGACTGGAGGAGGAATTCTGGGAGTTAATGTCCACAAGTCTTAAACTTGTCAAGTTTGAAGACCCCTGCTCTAGGCAGTTGTGGAAAGAAAGAGGAAAAAAAGGAAGGAAGGAAGGAAGGAAGGAAGGAAGGAAGGAAGGAAGGAAGGAACAGGAAGAAAGAAAGAAAGAAAGAAAGAAAGAAAGAAAGAAAGAAAGAAAGAAAGAAAGAAAGAAAGAAAGAAAGAAAACAAAAGACTAAATATTCCTTAGGATTTACTGGAGTTTTCCCACTAACTAATATGGTTATCAATATTTTCCCCCGAGAATGCAAGGAAAGTTATGCCACGTAAGGACATCATTTGCATCATGACTCAGCCTTGTTAGAGTACACTGTGATAGGGGGAAAAAGATTCAGTGTTATGCACAAATGTCCTTCATTTGACCGTCACACTGTTAAATTTTCAAATGACACTTATTTTGCTTTGCCTGAATTCAGCAGACAAAAATGGAGTGTCATTTTAGATTCAGCTTCATTAATCCTGTGAGTTATCTGGGAGAAGGAAATCTGAAATATTTCCTTCTCTTATATTCTGAGTCCATGTTTGCTCCTTCCATCCGAAGTTTTATTTAGTTATGATGGTTCCAAGACCATTATTCTTTACTGCCAAGTTAACATGTTTCCTAATATTTGTTTCTTTTATTGCTACTTTTAATTGTCCACCATAATTTTCTGACAGATTTATTTTTTGATGTTTTTAAAGCAGATTTTGCATGTTGAAAGTTTATCTTTGTTTTAAAGTTTTAAAAAAGGTAGTTTGAAAGTTCTGATGGAAAAATATATGGTTGAAAACAAAACCAGATGTTGCCTGCTTTAAAAACATTGAATTCAGCTTGATTTCTAATATTAGAGAGACTATTGAGAATATCCTAACAGATGACTTTATATTGGCATAAGGTACAAACACCCACTCAACATGTTATTGTCTTGTGGGGTAAAAATACTATGTACAGCAAAAGAGTAGAAAGTCTTAAGCAAGGAAAAGTACAAGATAAGCCCATAGAAATCTAATTCATTGTAATTTATGATAATACAGTTACCATAGGTCTCCATACTTTTTATGCAACCCATACATCATTCCATCAAATCCATATATACATTCATTCATTTCCTTTCATTCTGTAAAGATCTCACATTCTCTTTCTGAAAAAAAAAAGCCTGATTCGATCTTAATTTACTCTCTGTATAATCAAATCACATCCTTCCTTCATCCTGGATCTCATTTGTGGATTCAATCTGCATTAATTCAAACTCTATTAATTCTTCACCCTATCTCTTCTTACCTCTTAAATATCCTACAGCCACAGCATTCAATTTATTTTTAGTAATTCCTCCCTCCATATTGAGTTCTAACAACACGGGCAGAAGCTATTCTTAAGTATGGACACGTTGGGGTTTTTTTTTGACAATCATTCCTGACAAGAGACCACATACAATCTGCTACTTTTCTGCCACCATTTGCACACTTTAAAATTGAATTGTCTATCCATTTTTTTCATCTATCAAAGTGGAATGATATATTTCCAGTTTTAATATTTTGTTGAAGGATATTTGTTAGCCAATGTTGGAGAAAACTTCAACTGTATAACCTTGAACAGTAATTTTCATGTAGCAGTTGAACAACTACAGATAGTCGGCACTTACCATTGGTAATTGAGATTAGTAACTCTGACACCAAGCATCACAATTGTAAAATATGATGACACGTGACCATGCTGGTTTAAGAAAGCAGTTCCAGTTATCATTGTTAAGCAAACCCTACATGGTTGTTAGTTACCATGTCACATGATTATCATTTGCAACTTCCTGCTGGCTTTCCCACTGACTTTGCTTGGAAGCCACCAGTGAAAATTACAAATGGCAATTGTGACTGCAGGAAGCTGTAACATCATAACTCAGGGGTAACTTCAACTCCCGGTCCACAAACTGTTGGGACCCAGATCATGCAAGCAGTGAGTGAGCCTGCAAAGCTTCATTTGCACATGCACGGGATGTAGGTCGTGTGTGTGAAACCTTCACCCCTCCCCCGGCTGCTGTCACAGGTCTGTGAAGCCAGAAAGATTGGGAAATGCTATCATCAAGGGTGGGATTCTACCAGTTCGGACCGGTTCTATACAACTGGTTGTTATGATTCTGCACAGTTCAGAGAACCAGCAAATCATGTCCCTGGCTGGCCCCTCCCCTCTCCACTCAGCCCTCCCCTCCCAGTCAGTCACTATCTTGCATACGCGACATTGCATGCATGCCTGACATTGCTGACTGCGTTCTCCCCTGCCCAGTCACTCCTTAAGGTATTTTTTTTCCTCCTGGCGATCAGCTGTGCCAGGATCCCCCTTGCTATCTTACTGCTTCGCCCAGGAGGCTTCCCTGAGGACCAGGAAGCAAAGGGAGCTCGTGGGGGTGGGGGGAGAGCTGTGCCCCCCTGGCGCTCCATTTTTTGTCTTCCTGGGCCCCAGGGAAGCCTTCTGGGAGCAAAAATGCCTCCCCAGAAGGCTGGCATCCCTGAGGCCCAGGTGGCAAAAAAAAAAAAAATGGGGGGGATGCGCTGTGAAAAAAAGAAGCCACGCCTGCTCAGTCACATGGCCATGCCCACCTAGCCACGCCTACCTAGCCACACCCACAGAACTGGTTGTTAAAAAATTTGAATCCCACCCGTGGCTGTCATAATTGCAGACCAGTCACTAAGTGCCCAAATTGCAATCGTGTGATTGCAAGTATGTTGTAACAGCCATAACTACGAGGACCCACCATAAATATCCCTTGTTCAGTCCTGTTATAACCATGAATCATTCTGAACAAGTAGATGTTAAATAAAGATTTATTGCAAGATTTAAACACTCTACAGGAATCTGAACTGCTAATGGTCAAGGGAAATTAACAGGAGTTAAGAATAGGAAGGAATTCAAGATGGGCTAGATTTAGATCTCTTGTGGGCACACAAGGATTCATGACTGATGATGTGTTTGATTCCTCCTTCAGGCTCAGCCTGGTCATCTCCTACAATAATAACCTTGTAATGGAGTTTCATTGTTAGAATTCTTTGCAATGTGAGTTTTGAAATGTTCAATTCACTAGATGTAGATGTACATTGGTTTTGGGAATCTCTGTTCAAATACCCTCTCAATTTCTATTTGCTTGCTCAGCATCTCTTAGATCTATGCTCATCATGAAATGAGCCAGTTTCCCTGAACGTTTTTCATCCAGTTGTTAATTAAATTTCTGCTGTGAGCTTCCTTCTTGTAATAGAAAGTGAATTTTCCTTTTACTGCCGTTTGTGACTTAAATTCAGCTAACCAGAAAATGCAGCTGACTTCCCCCCCGCCCACACACAATGTTTGCCATTTTTCAAACAGAGAGACTTGAAAAAAATTAAAATCAAAAACATATTATTCCTAACTCACAAATTTAAGTATAAAAGAATTTTGATTCATTAAACTTTCCAATGACTTTTTGGTTTTGTTTTAAGCTTGTAACTTTTATACTTCTGAAGTTATTAGAGTTTAAAACTGAACTAAGAATTTAGGAACACCCTGTACTGTACCATGCCTCCTTCAAGACTCAGAAAAATCCTGACTCCTTATAGGTTAAGAGAAGACTCACATTCATTCCCTGGAGTGGTGTGAATCACCTACATAAGAAAAAAAAAGGCTTCAGCAGCCGCAGTGCCTCCCATCTTACTAACCTGAATGCTGGAGGATACATGCGCAGAGTCTCTGCTATCACCATATCAAGGTATGGAAGTTCCTGTATATTTTCATAATCTGGAATGTCCTGTGGGAATGGGAAGAAAAAAATGGTTATTAATTTAACAAAATATTTATATTATACCTATCTCTTAGCATCACAATGGCCACCAGAAACACAACACGAAAGCATGAAGTATCAACCAAAAGAGTAGACCTTAACCCTAACTGAACAAAAACATAGCAAATAGCAAAATGAAAGAAAGATGAACTAGCAAATCATATTCCTTGATGAAAGATTGCACCTAGGTATTACAATATTTTTTACCCAGGAACTTGTAAGTGATGATGACTTTGAAGATGACTTGAAAATGTGACAGTTCATATGCTGGAAGAAGATACTTGCTTCCGCAGTGGTACACTTATATCATGGATCCTTCCCTTATTATCAGAATGTTTCGAAGTACAGTTCAAGAATGTTGGTTTGTATTGATCATACTGTCTGGAGTTAGTGTCCAGGTATACAGAGTCTTCAATTATCCCTAAAGAAAATCTGCAGGTTTTGTATGGCTAGCCAGGAATGGTAGCTTACAAGCAGGTCTACAACACTCCCACCCTTCAACCTTACAAAGACCTGAGAACCTATGTTGCAGAGCTGTTTTACTCAGGGAGCGTTATAATATTAATATATAGGATAGGGAAGGGAAGGAAAAGATTATACTAATATATATTTGGATTGTTGTGAGGAAAGGAAAAAAGAAGCCTTGCCCTTTAAGGAAAAAAGCAAAGTTCTTTCCTTTTGTGGATTCAAATTTCCCGGCTGGGAGGTTTTAATGCAAAATGATTTGGTCAGCTGTGTTGAAAGTTAGAATCAGTTTATTAATAGGAAGGCAGATAAGAAGAAGTCTCACAGCGTTCCTAGGATTAATCTAATAAGTGAGTAGGAAAATCTCTCTCTTATATACTTCAGGTTCTTTGATTTGTAAGTGAAGTCTTTGATTTGAGTGTGTTGAATTCCTGTCTCTTTGAGATTGGGATCTCTTCCTGGGATCTTGGTAGGAGTAATTGTTTTATAGTCCAATCTGTTTTTCCCTGACCCTTTGTAGCTATCAGTTTGCACCTGGTTGCAATATCCTGAGTTTCCTGTTATGCTGTTTGCTTTTCTCAAGTTTTTGTAGCTTGCTATCTATTTGATTTCTATGGGAAAGGATCCTAGCTAATGTGTGTCCCATGCAAAGGTGGGAGCTAATGGAGCTGTCCCTGCTTGTGTTTTCACCTCTCCTTTCTTTTAGGGGAATTTTCCTTCCCCTTCTAATGTTTTCCTAGAAGAGAGGAGAATCGTAACTTCCAACAGTTGTGAGCACAAAATGGAATGATTGCCATGACCACAACTCAGCTTCCTGGAGAAAAGCTGGACTGCAAAATGTGATAAAAAAAAACTCTATTTACAACTTTGGTTGGAAACCAATTCACACTGTGAATCAAGGAGCCACAGTGGATTGGATCCAGAATCATAAATACTGTTGCAGAGATAAAGAGTTTGATACAAGGGCTTCCAACACAGTGTACGTATCTTGATGACAAGAAATGGGGTTGTTCCCTTTTGTTCTCCCTGCCATCTCCTAATTCATACCCTTCAATTTTCTGGGAGTAGCAGACAAAATGGAGCATTCACAAATGTCATTTTTTTTCTGGGAGAACCATCTCGGTCTAGTTATTCCTAAAGCCAGAGATTGGAAGAAAAAGAAAAAATGAATCCCACCTTTTGGTGTTTGTCACTTTGAATAGCATTTTTGGATAGGATTTGGATTCATTAAATTAATAAATATAAATTTACATGTCCTCCTTGGGTTTTAAATTGTAAAAAAAAAAGCAATTAATATCTTCCAACCCTGCTTTCTAAAAATCATGTTTTTTTTCCTTACTAAACTATTATCTGTCCACCCTTCCCATCGAGAAAAATCAAAGGGAACAAGGAAGGCATGAAGTAATATAATACTCTGATGAGCCAGGTGAGGGCAGCAAAACTATACATACCAATTATGTGGCTAAAGCAGAACACTTTACAATACCTGAATGTTCACTTCAAATAAAACACGACAAGATATTTTATGTTAACATTTCATATTAATTTTGAGAAACGTTCCTTAAGGTTTAGGATATATTAGCATTAGAATTTAATTCCCACAATCCTTACCTCTATTATGGCGACTGGCCATCTTATTCAGAGATTATGGGAATTACTGGACTGTGTGTCTTAACCAACATATAAAGGACTCAAATCAGGTCGGCATGAAAAAACACATTTCATTTTAAAAAAAATATGATCAAAATCAATGTAGGGTAGCTATTTATGCTGGCCTTCCTGTTCTTCCTGAGATACATCAGTATTTAATCCAGGATCAGCAAACATGCCAGCTACAGATGAAAGTTTACTAAAAGACTGCCTAGAAACAGGCACAGATGTCTGACCTTCCTCAGTTTCTAGGGGCAGGATAAGCTTCCAGCTAAACCAGATCCATTTCGATTTCCTACCCGGCCAAGAGAGGTCAGGGAAATCTGATAATGTTAGGCAAGTTCAGAGCCACTTCGCTGAACACATTTGCTATTTTGCCTTACTGATAAATGCAAGGACGGACTCTGGGTGGGATTTAACAGAATCTCTTCCAGAGCTGTTTGCTGAAGCAGGTTCTGTGCTTGCAGAAATTGTGAAGAGGAGACAGTGGGAGATCCTTGGGGTCCATTCAAAATTGGAAGTGTGGGGTCCTTGCTGCTCAGAGATCACTCCACAGTTCAACCCTGAGCTACAATATTCTCTTGTTAAAATTGGAAGTGCAAAGCCCAGCCTGGATGTCATTACGTATACCCAGCCTGTGTGAAAAGGGAAGGCCTGAACATCTGTTTGCCATGGAGTTTTTGACAAAAGTACATTTGAACTTTGAGCCATGGTGGCGCAGTGGTTAAAATGCAGTACTGCACGCTACTTTTGTTGACTGCCGACTGCCTGCAGTTTGTCAGTTGCATTATCACCGGCTCAAGATTGACTTAACTCTCCATCCTTCTGAGGTCGGTAAAATGAGGACCCAGATTGTTGGGGGCAAGATGCTGACTCTGTAAACTGCTTAGAGAGGGCTGTACTGTGAAGCAGTATATAAGTCTAAGTGCTAGTGCTAAGTGCTGAATAACCAAAAAAAAAAAAAAAAAGCAACCAATACTATCTTTCTGAAATTATACAACTCAAGGGGATTATTGCATGTTTGGTTTCACTCCTTTTTCATAAATTTCCCACTTACAAGAAGGTGGGAAGGAAATTTCTAAGCTTGCTTCCTCTCCCCCGATGTGCTGCTTTTTCTTTATAGAAAAAGGGATTCTTTGGGGAGTTTGTTTGGTCTTCTTTAATGCAAGGAGGCATTCATGCTTGAAACTCTTCCACCTATATTCTGAAGCATTAGTCCCAGACTGGCTACATGTATGCATGTGTAAACATTCTATCAAAGCTTGATTTAAAAAATTATAAAAAAGCCTCAGCCCTCCATTTTTCAAGAAAGGAGGTTTCCAGTGACAAAGCTTAGGTAAACAAAAATTATCACTAGCCACTGCTACATTTCTTGGCTCTTTTTAAAGCTGATCATCCCTTATAAGAGGTGCAGTGGTGCAGTACTGCAAGCTACTTCTGCTGACTGCCGGCTGCCTGCAATTTGGCAGTTTGAATCTTACCAGGCTCAAGGTTGACTCAGCCTTCCATCCTTCTGAGGTTGGTAAAATGAGAACCCAGATTGTTGGGAGCAATATGCTGCCTCTGCAAACTACTTAGAGAGGACCGTGAAGCAGTATATAATCCTAAGTGCTATTGCTATTCAGTCGTTTACTTCCTGAAACTGCCATTTTATGGTCTCTCAAAAGCTGTGTGAGCTACAGTGGTGGGATTCAATTTTTTTTTACTACTGGTTCTGTGGGTGTGGCTTGGTGGGTGGGGCAGGGGAAGAATACTGTAAAATCTCCAGTCAGAGGTGGGATTTGCTGGTTTTCCGAATTACTCAAAATTTCCACTACTGGTTCTCTAGAACTGGTCAGAACCTGCTGAATACCAGCTCTGGTGAGATACCAGGGATTTCCTTTCTGAGGGACTGAAGAGAACAAATCATAGTATCTTTCTACTATTTTTCTTTCCAATAAAGGGGAATATTTGTAGCTCAAGGTTGAAATTCAAGGTTGAAGTTCCTAGTGCTCTCGGAGCTTGCTTGTTTTCTCGCAGACGTTTCATTACCCAAACTATGTAACATCATCAGTGCTCGTGTCTTTCTTTCACCAGCAGCACTTCCACTGCAGTGAAAAGAAAAGCGGGGGAGAGCGGAGAGTGGACAGTTTGATTTGCAAAATTTCAATGGTCTGGATTCAAAGGGCCTGTGGGGGTGCATCTTGCACCTATCACCATCTGCATCTCCTTAAATTAAATGGCTCTTTTCCTAGTTTCATGCAGTTGAGGGAAAGCTTAATACAGCTTATTTAAGGAATTGCTGACAAGGATTACATGATAATTAACCATGCTCTGAATCACCTTTTCCCTTTAAAGTACATAGGCTTGCACAGCTGTGGCAAAAGTACTGAAAACATGTCAACCCTAGTGTTATTCTCTTTCCAGCTGCTTCCCCCCAAACACTGGCATGACTCTGACAATAATAAGCTTAATTAAACAGGCAGTAGTTTAATTATAATGCCCTTTCAGTTCACTTGGCAAACCATGGGACATCATGGCCATTGTCCTATTGACTGGCTTTCCTGTATATTACCAAATGCAAAGACCTGCATTTTTAAAGCACATTCATCTATTCAGTGATCCTCAACAAAGAAAAAAAAAGCCCTTAATTTTACTGACCAGGAGTTTTTATTTGTAAGCTAATAATCAGATTTGGGAATCTCAAAATAGAAGATTTAAAAAACAGGGCTGGAAGAATATTTCCTGCTCTAGTATCTACATCAGCTTTGGCCATCTTTTATATTAATGAAAATGAATGGCAACATGAGTTAATACACTTGAGTGAATATTTCCCATAACCTACCCCAGGCAATGTTGAGGCTGAAGATAAG